TGTTAAAATTATGTTTGTTTTAAATACATTTAATTGATATTCCATAAATTCATTTTGTATGATTTCATTGACCTTGACGTTGTTCAAAATCATTTTGTATTGTATTGAAACTGTATGTCTATGACCTATGTTATGTACTATATTAACCCATTGAGTCGCATTGCACCCTGATGCACCCTACTTTGAACAGTATTTTACTCTGTCTAACGCCAGACGATTTTACTCGTCAAGGGGGGAGTGCTGGCGCTTAATGGGTTAACTGATCTATCTGCCCATGTGTCTAGTTAACCCATTGGGTCGCATTGCACCCTGATGCACCCTACTTTGAACAGTATTTTACTCTGTCTAACGCCAGACGATTTTACTCGTCAAGGGGAGAGTGCTGGCGCTTAATGTGTTAACTGATCTATCTGCCCATGTGTCTAGTTAACCCATTGGGTCGCATTGCACCCTGATGCACCCTACTTTAGTATTTTACTCTGTCTAACGCCAGAGTATTTTACTCTGTCTAACGCCAGAGTATTTTACTCTGTCTAACGCCAGACAATTTTACTCGTCAAGGGGAGAGCGCTGGCGCTTAATGGGTTAACACGCCCAAAATCTGTACTAAAACTGCTAATTCTGTTTTGTGATTGGCACAGTTTAATCAAAGAATCCTCCAGTTGAACCAGAGCCTTCACGATATTTCAATTTATTATTAACTGAAGGCTCTGGAATCCAGGATAGCTTGCCATTGAATACAGTGCAATTCTTATATTTCTGAATGAATAAGATCATACTCAGAACAGTCAGAACTGCAAAACTATATTGTTAGAAAGAAGTTGAAGTTGTGAGCATTATTGTGGTAACACAGCATATGTATATATCAATGTATGTCAGTAGAATCATGTTTATAGGCTTTATATATAACTGAGGCCTTGTACAAGTCATATCTTATACAAAAGTCAGTTGATATGCTATATTACATGTAATTGCTGATAAGTCCATATATGCAGACAACAATCCACACTGGGTAGCTCTAGGAATCTTGTTAAGCCTGATTTAACAACATCCCGCCTTTGTTTTTAAACTATAAACATTTAGAAATAGAACGTACCAAACACTATTATATACTCACCGCCTTTGGCTTTGCACATATTAAGTGACATAACAAACAAATAAACTAAAAGTTCATTTGCTTCTTGTATCAGCATAAAGGCATTAATCATTACTGTCGATTTGGTCGGGAATAGATCAGTGATTCAGTGGGTATTATAATTGCCGATATATTCTTGAAATCATTTTGTTTCAATGCCTCTATATCGAAGTTTAATACACTAAAGTGACTAAACAAGTATATTAGTATAAACAGCAGATTTAAATATAAATGCCTTCATGTATTATAAAATATATCACCAGACAGGTAGACAGGGCACACGGCACGACTACATCACTATACGAGAACGAAATAAAGCCATCCTTACCTGAATTATTCAAAATATTGTCGATCATTCTTGCGCCAGAGACACAAAATAACACCGTGCTTTATTTACCCATTCATCTTCACAAATATTACTCGGAATTTTTATGGAAATTCGCATTATTTTATGATTTTTATATTTCTGTCCGTTTATAACAGTCGCCATGTTGTGAACAAACCCCCCCGGGAACAAAAAAATAATATCAAAACAGCTAGTTTTGGCCCGTCCGTGGATGACAGAATGACATAAATCGAGATTGTAGCGGCTATAAACTCGGCGGTCACGTGGTAAGCACACCACGTGTAGAGATTAGTGTGCTGCCGAGCTACGCTCGGCAGCAATAATATAAGAGTTGAACATGCGCAGTGTTAATTTAACCAGATAGTATGTTTTTATGGTATCCGGTTTGGATTTTGCCAGAGCCCCTCGTCGCGCTCCGTTGACCGCGCGTAAGAAGGGCTCTGGGTACGAGAATGTCGGTGCCCCAGAAAATGTGCTTGTCCCTCCAGAGCCCCACCCCTCCCTCCCCTCCTATTCGGAAATTTCTCCCTCTGTCAAGACTGAGAAATGTAAACATATTTACACATATTAAACAGAGTAAACATATTTCAATGTAAACATATTTCGCCCATATAGACCATTTCAAGGTTAATGACACCATAATGAAACACAATAGTGCAAAGGGTGCAAACACAATGGAATTCCCTATAGGTAAATTTGCAGGGGGTGCAAATACAATGGTGAAAACAATAGATTCAAGATGGCGTCCTTGACATTGAAAGGGCCTACTAAACCGAGCATATTTCCTGCTACGCTCAGTTCATGTATGAAAACTACTAGATCTTACTTGCAGCTTTCCTCGACTGTAGTATTCCTGAACAATAACTGTAAATAGACAAAGATGAAAGTAATAAACAACAAGCAGCGAGGATGGCTAGTCCAAATTTACTGGTCCTGGCTGAGTTGAATTTAATACGACAATTACTGTAAAACATTTGTCTCTCGAGTTCTGTACATAATTAGTGTCCGAGCGTGTCTGATCTGGGTTGGTGTGACGTATTGTCAGACCAGGTTTTCAAAATTATATTGCGCTCTGGTGATAGGGATGCACCGGAACCAATTTTTAAAGTTCCGGCCGGAACCAGATCTGGCCGGAACTGGAAAAAAGTTCCGGCCGGAACCGATTCATTAAGCGATATGTGGTCATATGTTACTGTGTCTGCTGCCAGACACTTTGTGTCATCAAGGAGAGAGCTCGCAAATGTTAGAATAAAAAGATTGACTAACGTTAAACGTCATAATGAAGTGTTAATAGTGTACATTTTCTTGTGTAGTCCAAATTTCTTCCTATGCTATTCAATAAATAAACTTGATATTCTATCTCTCTGAGAACGACAAAGTTCTGGTCCTCCCGGCCATGTTTTTTATTAGTTCCGGCCGGAACCGGAACTCCAAAAAAATCGGAGCTCCGGTCGGAAATAACCGGTTGCGCGGTGGTGCTTGAGCTTAGACCCTCATGACAAAAATGCCAATAGAACTGAATGATTGCCAATATAATAATTAGACCGGTGAACACACGCTGATTTGTGGTCAATAATTTGTTTACTCTAGCACACAAAAATACGCCATAACGCCCACTAAAGTTAATATCATATAAACTTACCAAATGATTCAATGGCTCCATGAATTACGTTGTGCTGGGTGTTTTCACCATCGCGATCCCTACATAGAATTGAGATAATTGAGTTTTTGTTTTCTTAATTTATTCCATCTGGATATAATAGGGTCGACCCACTTTATGAGAAATTAACGACGAGCTGCATGTGTTAATGCGAATTTGAAAATTTCCTGTTAATATAAATAAGACTGATTTGTGTTATCGTTAATTTATCGTTCGTTTAAAAGATTTTGATTTTTTTCAATCGTTTATTCAAGTCACGTTAGTAAAGTGCATCGTTATAATAAGGTTATTGTAGTACTCACTAATCTTTACAAACCTTTTTATTTCAACCAAGAGCTCTGCAACCAACTTTTCTTTTATAGGTTCTATTATAACTTCCTTCCAAATTTCTAATGCTAGCTGCAAATAAATCTTCGTTTTAAAACAGGGCAAAAAGTTGACCAAATATAAGATTGTAAAGGTAATAATAGTATGGTCTCGAGTGCAATTTGGAAAGAACATAGACGAGTGAATTTTTCAAAGATGATCAAAATTGCGTGAGTCCGAAGGACAAGTGCAATTGAAGTTTCTGAAACAAGTGTTTGTTTCTCCAAACTGGACGAGAAACCATACAAAAAACAAAGAAGCAAACAAACAAACAAACAAACAAACAAACAAACAAACAAACAAACAAACAAACAAACAAACAAACAAACAAACAAACAAACCAAACAAACCAACCAACCAAACAAACAAACCAAACAAACAAACAAACAAACCAAACAAACCAACCAACCAAACAAACAAACAAACAAACAAACAAACCAAACAAACAAACAAACAAACAAACAAACAAACAAACAAACAAACAAACAAACAAACAAACAAACAAACAAACAAACAAACAAACAAACAAACAAACAAACAAACAAACAAACAAACAAACAAACAAACTAGTAGTTTACATAATGACCCTCAGTATCTATATACTGTATATAATATTAGTAACATTATTAAATTAATATTAATAATTAGATTAAACCCATTAAAATAACACTAAGTTAGTAATTTCTTGAAAGTTTAAAATGTTCTAAATCCCTATTCTGTGCAAGCAGATCACGTAGTACAATGTACAATGAGATATTTCTCACATTCAATTCAATGTTGTTCCACAGACGAATAGAACTCACTTGAAAAGTTCTACATCCTGATGTCTTTTTATAGGAAGGCAATGAAACTAGGCTTCTTGTTGTCGAACGTGTATTATATTTATGGGTGTCCATGAGATACCTAATATATGACACAACATAGTTTGCACAATGTCCAAGACTAATTTTGTGTAACATATACAGCTTCCTAGTACGTACTATGTCGTCAATACTGAATAGGAAGCCATCCTAATGTTGAAACATCCTAATGTTGAACCGCATGAGAAATGGATCATTTTACTCACTCATTTGAATGGCACAACAACTAAATACAAGTTTTTAACTAGTCTCACTCAGTAGTCCGAATCACAAGTCTAAGGAAGTGAAATGAAAATGTCCTTTGTTTTGCTTCTCGCTACGTATTTCTTTTCTTGCACTGCATTTCGTTAAAATGTATTTATTTAGCTTTTGCCAACTAGGGCAGGGCCACCACAACAGCATATGCCAATTACGGTGAGCCCTTTTTACCTAACCCACCCTGTCAACTTTCCCTGTGGGAGAAAACCAGAGTACCCGGAGAAAACCCACGACTTTCGGCAGAACGTTGACTTTTACTCTGTTCACATGAGGACTGGCTTCGAGTCACATTTGGAAAGTTCTCACTGAGGCTATGTTTACATTGTATCGGATCACTTTGCGTCCGACGCAAAAACCATACCGGATAGGGCTTCTGTTTACATATGAATTTCTGCAACGGACCGGTGGTGCGGCGGTTCGCTCTTCGAAGTGGTGCGCGATGTATCGGATCGCTTTTTGCAACGCTCTCATTGTAATGTAAACACAAATCGGAGCAATTTTCGGTTCAATACGTGACTCAAGATGGCATCTGGGAAACAAAGACTTGCTATTCTAATCTTATTTGCGGGTATATAGCCTGCTCACTTATAATATTTTTGTATTTAGATGGGCGAGGGCGGAAGCTGTTTACACTTGGGCCGTGACGTTTCGTGAACGAAGCAAAAACCGATCCGATACAATGTAAACATAGCCTGAGATTTGAACTTGTGACCTTAGCGGTGAAAGGCAAGTGCGCTAACCACTTCGCCACCGGGGCCCCATAAATTGCACTTCTCTTAGCGAAGTCGAGTAACTTTTTCATGTACATTACTGTATATGCACATGCACGTAATTCATTGAATTAAAAATTCTGGAATTGCAAGTCAACTCCAAAACCATGCCATGTTGAGATATCAACTAAACCTGTAGTCACCTGCTGATAACTCCAAAGGTGGTCTGAAACTAAGGCTAAAATAGCTATTGAGTCAAATTTAAAAGAGGAAAGATCTGCCTGAGTTGTACACCAGATGGAATTTGATTTCACGATGCACTCTCGTCCTCAGGCAACTAGTTTTGATTCGCTTGCTGGGTCCTATATCCCCTGCCTACTGTCATTCAAGGATTGGCGACCTCAATTAGCCCCCAAAATAAAATCTACATGCATGTACACCGTACAGTACCTTTATGTATGTATTATTACTAATCTCAGATTAAACCAAACAGTTTCAAACAATTACCGCGTTGGTCAAATTTAACGAATTTTCTATCACTCGTGCGGGCTCGCATTGTCAGCGGAAATCTTACACAAAATGGCCATTTCTGTGCAAGCTAGTCCGCTGGAAAATTCGATTTCACAGCTAGTCCGCTGGAAAATGCGAGCCTGTGGTACTGGGAGAACATTTGCTGAATATGAGCAGTGTGTATAACTGTATATATTATTTTCAAATACACTGTACCTCACCAACTTCCAGCATATTTTCAACCTCTGACACTGCAAGAACATACGGTGATACTTCTCCACCATCTTGTTTTTCTTTCTTAATATGTTGATTCAGATGGCTAAGAAGAAAAACAGAATAAATTTGAGCGCAGTGGCCTTTTCTAACTTCTACACGAGATTCAAGTTTTGCATTATGGGCATATCTGTGTGGGTATATCGTCAAATACAATACTGTAACTAATGCCAATTCAGGGTCTCGACTGAGCATCCAAAAATGATGCGTTCTTCGGATGCGCAGTCGAGACTCAGAACACGTGATTTTTGGATGCAATTCGAGACTCCGAATTGGTTAATAAATCAGTTACGAATCGTTTAGTATGGTTTCCAATTTTATAGCGTCGAACAATATTTTAGATCCCATTTTTTAAAACCTTTCCAATGATATATGAGAATGACAAAGATGAAGTGCCAACGTCACTATAATATGTATAATGTATAACAATAGAAACAAAAGAATCAGTTGGCTATTTGATTACTATGCTCTCCAACGTTAAAAACAAGCGTTTTTAGTCTACTACGGTACTACCATTTTTTCAGAGCATTGAGAACACTACTCCACTTTAAAACTCCACCACCCATCATAAAATTCGTATGAATATACAACGATCAAGTACCTTCTTCTTTTTACAGTTAATTATTCACATTTGACACAATTTCTTAAAAATATATTGTGAAAATATATTTACGGAGAAAAATTTTGTTTCAAAACTTAATTGGAGATTGATTTTTTACACCGTACACTGTTAGTAGATTAGTGCTTGCATTAATCCCTGCTCTCGCATTTGTTTAATTGAATTATTCAACAAACACAATGAAATCACATTAGGTGTTAATTACCGAAATAATAAATTCAAGAAGCGACATCCATTGTTGTACTGTGACCAATGACTGTGATACGGTTGAAGATAATATGAGGCTGAAGAGACTTCCTAAAAGGAAAATGTGTTGATGTTAAATTCCATTCCTGCCAATATTACAAAGTTAATGCACATTGACAAAACAAACTTCGACACTCCCTCTCCTTCAGTTCAATGTTGCAAACAGTACCGAAACAACTTTTGGTAAATTACCATGAGACAAGCTCAACATTGAGTTGGGGAGCGGGGGCTTAAGAAGGGCAACATGATTTAACATGGAATTTATCATAAGCAATATGCGAATTTTGTAGAGAGTGAAAGGTAGTCTCAATTAACCAGTTATATCTAAGATTATCCTACAGATCAACTCCAAAACTACGCATGTGGAGGGAGCGTAGCTCGCTATCACCTAAACCTGGAGTAAATAAGTTTGATTTCAGGATCCATTCCCGTCCAATAGTTCTTATTTTGGTTCGCTTGGTGGCCTCCAGACGCCCATGCCTGCTGTCATTCAAGAATTGGCTGCCTTCAAAAATACAATCTACAGGCATGAACTACAATGACTAACATTTCAAGGCTTTCAAGCGTTTATGTGAAGGAAGACTTTTCAAAATTGTAACTGTAAATTTACCAATATACACACAACTACAGTTATAAATATCGATACTGTAATTATCATCTGTAATTATCATACTATAATTACATTACAAACATAGGCTGATATGCCGGGGGTGCAGGGGGGTTCGCACTTCTCCTCGTGGTTGATGGGTCTTACATCAAGTCATGGGTGACGTCATGAATAATTCTCATAATCAACAAAGTAATAGTAATATTTTTATGTATTAATGTCGTGAATAGGTTTTATACGTTTTTGGACTTCTAGGCGATCTGGCCTCTTGGTTTCTGGATCTTTGGGTCTCTGATGTTTCCTTGTGCCATGTTGCCCAGTCCAATTTTTCCAGTACCTCATTTCATTCTTCACTGCCTCGGTGTCCGGTCTAATTCGTGAACTGAACTTGCGATAAACCAACTTAGCAGTTACAAATGGTCCAGGTTGCAATACAATTGCTTCCTGGATCTCTTCGGGGATCTTGTCTCTACCTCTCTAATTTTAGCGCCCTAAAAAGATATATATGGGGAAAATTAGTAATTTTTTATTTATTTATTTTCTTTACAACCAACTAAGAATACAAAATGTTTATACATATAACAAAAGTATGGTTGAGAATGTTGTCAACAGGACCCGGGAACCACAGTACTTGTTCCTGTTACGTAGTGTACTGTACATCAAATCACATTAATTTGCTCTACTTTTGAGTTTTGGGAAAATAATATTGAGGGGAAAATTGTTTACCTGTTTAAATATTGCTCTTTGTTACTCAGATCGAGTATCAAACCAGAGCTATATAGCTGCTGTCAAGGTTTGCGCAGAGAACTTTGTTGAGACATCTTGTATGTACTCTTTGGCCCAGAGCTTGCTCAAGTATGTTGAAGAATACCGAATGATATTTTTACCTTTTTTCGTGTTACCATCAGTACCATCTTAAGGGGATAGGTTATTCTGACAGTGACGAACGTAGATATCAAGAGTTTCTTCTTCTAAGGAGTATGGTACATTGTCGCTGTTGTTATGTTTCACGTGTATTCGTTCATATAGCTTTTCGTTTCGAGAGAAGATGGGTTGGTTTCTCTCAGGTTTTTGCTGGCTTCGATAGTTCATGTATAATTGTATAGGAGCACTTTAGGCTGATGAAAAACATACTGTACAAGAAATCTCTCTATTAACAGCCCATTACTGTTGTTCACCAGTTTTGGCATCACTAAACATAAAAATGCGTTTGGTTGAGTAAAGCATAATAGAGCCAAAGCTGCCGAATGAACACCCGTTCTTTTGTTCGTGTTTCCTTTATTCTCGTTACCAATGCGATCCATCGTAGCATTGGTGCAGGCATTTCATGAATGCGGCTGACGACGCACTCTTGTAGTCAACCATGCACCGTCCTAAACCACTCATGACACTCATCAATCGCGAGAGCTCAACTCGGTTTTTGCTTCGGATGTATGTAAAACTGAAAACGTCCTTTGGACGTAGCGCCTTCTGTATCAAGTTTGCTCCAGTTTTCGTCTCCAAATTGTGTAAAATAGGTTCTTCAGTTACACAATTGTTGTGGCTTCATGGGTCTTACTGGTTGATGCACCACCAAGTGCTGCTACCATGTACAAGTTGGTACGTTTCAAAAATCGAAACAAAATGGTGTTTACCATCAACGCCTAGACTGCTGAAAATAAACTGGCAAGGATAAACTCTTTGCATGTTCCTTTTGCGAAACTGCCAACCATTTATCTTTCTTCTGCAGTGCAACATCTTTCCAGGGATAGAGCAACCTTTACTTCGTTTATTAATAGTTATTATAGTTTCAATTGAAACAAATTCTCGTGTTGCCATGCAGAACTCCCAGCGAGCTAGAAAAACCCCAGAGACCCAGCAACCCATGACGTACCACCAAATCATGACTTGATATGCGGTCCATCAACCCTCCTATAGGAGCTATGTGTGGTCTAGCAGCAGCCCCCCCCCCAACCCTAGAGGTGTCCAGCACCCGCTTAAAAAAACCTACTGTAATAATATGCTATACCATTTACTTTAGATTCCCAGATTTTTGAGTTGTGGAGTTCGCTAGAAAATATTCAAACACTAGCTACTGTAGTAATATGGTAGGTTGCAATGATGTCGATTTATTTCAGGCTCTGATAAGCTGAACATGAAATGATTATGCAGAAAATACCTTCCACCATGTACAAAACCTGCAGCAAAATGGGCAGTACAATAGAAAAGGCATGCAACAACTGTCAACAGTCTCAAATTTTTAAATATAAAAAATCTTTAAAAATAAAAAAAATTTCAAAAGTCTTTTCAACAATCCGTATAATGAAAATCTGCCCAGCTTAAATGAAGTCATCACAAAATTAAATTTTAAAATATTTACTAATTAAGAAACTAACGCTTCGTCCATTTTATATTCATTATGCTGGGCATTGATTTTGATCAAACAGTTACGATTCCTATCAGAAATTCATGGCTACCAGAAATTCATGGCCACCAGAACTTCATGGCTACCAGAAATTCATGGCTACCAGAAATTCATGGCTACCAGAAATTCATGGCTAACAGAAATTCATGGCTACCAGAACTTCATGGCTACCAGAAATTCATGGCTACCAGAACTTCATAGCTACCAGAAATTCATGGCTACCAGCAATTCATGGCTACCAGAACTTCATGGCTACCAGAACTTCATGGCTACCAGAACTTCATGGCTACCAGAAATTCATGGCTACCAGAAATTCATGGCTACCAGAAATTCATGGCTACCAGAACTTCATGGCTACCAGAAATTCATGGCTACCAGAACTTCATGGCTACCAGAAATTCATGGCTACCAGAAATTCATGGCTACCAGAAATTCATGGCTACCAGAAATTCATGGCTACCAGAACTTCATGGCTACCAGAAATTCATGGCTACCAGAAATTCATGGCTACCAGAAATTCATGGCTACCAGAAATTCATGGCTACCAGAACTTCATGGCTACCAGAAATTCATGGCTACCAGAAATTCATGGCTACCAGAACTTCATGGCTACCAGAAATTCATGGCTACCAGAAATTCATGGCTACCAGAACTTCATGGCTACCAGAAATTCATGGCCACCAGAAACTCATGGCTACCAGAAATTCATGGCTACCAGAAATTCATGGCTACCAGAACGTCATGGCTACCAGAAATTCATGGCTACCAGAAATTCATGGCTACCAGAACTTCATGGCTACCAGAAATTCATGGCCACCAGAAATTCATGGCCACCAGAAATTCATGGCCACCAGAAATTCATGGCCACCAGAAATTCATGGCTATCGGAATTTAACGTGATCTTTTATGTCAACACAGCATCTTTTTAATAAACTCATCATGCATAGATGGATCAAGAAGAAAAACTTGTTGCTAATTTAGACGTCACCAGCTAGCACTGACTGTGAAACTGGTTGTTTGACTGGATTGATTTATGAGACTTGAGGAGGACACTTACTGCATAAATTTTATTCACATGTGATGTGAGTAAATTCTTAACTTCCGTATACAATCTTTCCACCAGGGGTTCAGGATAGGCAACACACATTGAGTACACATCTTTAAGGTTTGGTTAAGGAATGATATTTATACTGTACCACATTAAACCAATGAATAAATCTGCATTAAAAATAACCTAGATCTAGGCTGAGGTAGATATTGGTGTATATAACAGATTACTATTCATTTTTTCAAAACTATTTTTTTGTTTTCCCCAAATTGGGAATTATTGAATTGCAAGCAATATGCAAGACTGCCATGCAGTTCTTAAGATAAATGAAATGCAATGAATCTTGATACGAATGCAGATAACCTGCAGTCAATCAGGAACTCAGAAAAGCTGTCATTGGGTTTTTACTTCCTCCTTTTAGATATGAAGCATTTTAGAAAAAAAAGAAAAACAGTAATTAAAATACAATATCTATCTCAGCACAATTTTTCGTCTATCGTCTAACGTCTCCGCGACTAACGTCTATTGTCTCCGCGTCTACATATTCTATGTTGATCGTATTTTTGGTGCCGCAGCTATTTATTGCCCCAATGATTCAAGAAAAACTCCCGTAATCAAAAGGTCAAAGCCAAAGGATATTAGTGTAATGTTCTAAATCTCTTTTTCCGAAATACATGTACTGTACTGAAGTTTTCACCAGTAGTCATCACGTTTTTCCCGAGTCTCATTACATGACAAAACTGCCGAACGCTTGCCTAATGAGATCATTTTAATACGGTTTTATAGAGACTATACACCATCAAAATGGTTTTATAGAGACTATAACCACCATCAAAATGCTTTTATAGAGACCAACCACCATCCACCTTGACAACCACCATCCACCTTGGCGGCGGAAAATATTTTATTTGGGTCGCGCTTCGCGCTCATGTTTTCATACATTGTTTCTCGTGTTTGGATATCCCACTGAAACACTCACTCTCGTTGTTCATATATTACATACAGCAAAATTTTAAGGAACATAGCCCAGGGGCACACATCCAAAAATGGAAATCAACCAAAAATGGCGTACGAGTTAACATGATTGCAAAGTATTCATTGCCAGGTTAGGGTACTGTATTTCCCCAAGAAAATATTTTAAGTTTTGTATGCCTTGAATTACAATTCCTGCATTTTCTGATAAGTATTCTTGGGTAAATAACATCTAAATTCACTATATACTGTAGTTTCTCGCTATTCTTTCAATCAGTGGAGGTACCGAAGAGGAAAGACAGCTCTAAGGAGGTCCAGGGCAATGCTCCACCGGGAAAAATTTGAAATCTATGTAGTGTCCCTGAAATTCGATTTCCAGCATTTTGCGGGAAGATTATAAGCAAATGTCTAAGCTTGCAAAGTACATGAAACACATGATTTTTCATGACTGTAATGCAGGTGTAAGCTGGGAGCTGTACATTGAAAATAACAAAATTCACCTTTGTTTTCATTGAAAATCTGGCAAAACCTGAAGCTCGTGCTACACTAGAAGGTTGTTAACCCTTTAAGTGGCAATGCGCCCAGATGCACCCTACTTTATTATTTTACTCTGTCTAACGTCAGTACAATTAATGATTTTCCCAAAACAAACAAAATGGCGGAAAGGTATTTTAAACACAAACGTGAAATGAAATTGCCCTAGAGGAACTAGATGAAAATACGAACAAAAGAACCAAATTTTGCTTTAACAAAAGAACCAAATGAAAGTACGAACAAAAGCACCAAATTTCGGTTGAAAGTCTTTCAGGACTGGGCTTTGGCGAGAGAAAACGATGTTGACATTGAGAAGTTTGAGTAAGTATCCAATTTTGTCATGTTAATAATAAACAAGTAATGATGTGTGGCAAAATTCCAAACATCACTCGTACTATTAATCCCTAATTGTACGAGCAACATCGCATGATTATCTATACTTAAGGTTACAGGACACCCTTTTTGGCGTTTGGCGGAAAATCGCTACTGCGCGCTCAATATCAGTCCGATTTTCATCAAATTTTCACCAAATGTTCTCCAGTGCATGCAAAATATGGTAAAGTTGTAAAATTAACAAACAAGAAAATAATGTAAGAATTATTCAGGAAAATCTTAAATCGCGATACCGTTACGCTTTTGAGTTGTGCTCCTGCTGGTTTTAAGTTATATTTATGCAAATATCATTTTTATACAGTAAAATAGTTGTTCTAAAAAATTGTGTTCGGAAATTTTTGTTTATTTCGTCATTCCGCTGATATGGCGATTTCTTTGACGACTGCAATATATTTCTGAATTGTTTGAGTGAATTGCTCTTTATTTTTAAAATATCCAAAATTAAAAAAAAGTCGAACACAATTTTGAAACTGACGTCTTTAGCTATGTCCTGTGAAAATTTGAGAAAAATTGGTTAAAATCCGCAGGAGCACAACTCGTTTGAAAATCAGTAATTACCGTAAACTTTTTCGGGAGAAAATTTAATTTGAATATTACATTTTCAATGTTTTTCTTATTGCAGCGAAATATATTTTATTAAATAACTCTGCAAGTTTTCAACATTTTTCGTTCAAACTTGGTCAGATAGTAGAACTACAATCTTTGACAATATAGATTGGGACAATCTAGTTTTCACATGCATTCGGTTGTAGTATACCATTTGCTGATACATATTTTCCACCCTCCCTCCCCCTACCCGTTTCAATGTTGGCGCCGCGCATCCAGACATCAGATTTTTGTTGGCCCAACATTGAACTAGGGGAACGGGGGGACGCTATTCCTTTCAAACTATATGAAATTACAGCAGCTGGCCCATAGTTTCTGGCAAAGATTGTAGTCTAATGCTTTCATGGAAACCAATAAAAAAATTTTAGGCAAAATTAACACTCAAGGGTGTTCTGTAACCTTAATTAACAATTTGCATCCCTTTTTTATGGCATGTAGTAAAAGGCGAAACGTCGAAACGAAACGACCGAAACGAAACGGCCGAAACCATCGAAACCACCGAAACGACCGAAACGAAACGACCGAAACGAAACAACCGAAACGACCGAAACGAAACGACCGAAACGAAACGACCGAAACGAAACAACCGAAACGAAACGACCGAAACGAAACGACCGAAACGGCCGAAACGAAACGACCGAAACGGCCGAAAATATAAATTACAGGAAAAATGGAAAATATTAAAATATGAAATTTACGGGAAATTTTATTGAAATTTTAAGACAATTGAGCTGTGGAAGCACTGGTTTATAGACAGGGTTCGTAGCGGTCTTTAAAATCCTTGAAAGTCTTTAAATTTGAATGCAGGTCTTTAAGGTCTTTGAAAAGTCTTTGCTTGTGTGAAAAAGCGAAGAAAGTCTTTAAAAGTCTTGAAATTCTTTAGTGAGCATTTGATTATACGATTTCCTAGCTAATAAAATAGATTGATTGAAGCAAAATTTTCGCAAATATCGACGAAAACGCGTATTTTAGGATGTGATTTGACGGTGCTAATAATTGGGTAAAAATGGTGCTTACACTCGCAATTTTTCGACAGCTGATTGCTCTCAAAGGTCTTTGAAAAGTCTTTGAAAATAGGCAGAAAAAATCTTTGAAAGTCTTTGAATTGTTTTGGTCTTGGAGACTACGAACCCTGTATAGATTTTGGCGCCATTCTCACTTCTCAGTGGCGCCATTGTTCTACACCATAGACAATTCTACTGATGAAAGCAAATATGGAGACGAGGGAACTCGAGGAACAGGTACGCATTTAAAGTTTTAATTAATACAGTAAATATCTATCCATATATAAAACTAGTATGCATACCGACGAGAATTTGGCATATTGAAGTGCAAATACAACAGGCACAAGTTATGTTCACATCAGGGGCGTAGGAAGCTTCTAAAAGTTGGGGGGGGGGCAGGCTTTGAGGGACACTTTTCGAAAAAAAGGCATCTAAAAATTTTTTCCAGGAAATGTCGGCGACGAGGGGGGAGGTCATCTCAAAAAAAATCTTCGGACATACCAAAAAAAATTTTCCGGATATACCACATTTTTTCCTAAATACGAAAAAAATTTTCCGGACATACCAAAAATTTTTCCGGATCTATGATATTTTTCCCGGAAATGAAACAATTTTTCGGAAATAACATAGATTCAAGTTTTCAAAAGTCCCCTTTGAGCAAAAAATGCAATCTTAATGACAATTTTTCACGCAAAAAAGGGCACTTGGCAAAACTTGGGGAGGCCTGGCCCCCCTGTTTGTACACCCCTGGTTCACATGCTTTTATATCGTGCATGAAGCCATGAACACTTGTTTAACCCTTGTTTCACGTTGTCTAAGGCCAGGTTTAGACGTCGAACATTTCATGCGCCGAACCGTAATGCAAATGAAGTGAAACAAAGAACTTAGCTCATTAACATTAGCCGATTAGGTTCGGCGCATGAAATGTTTGACGTCTAAACCTGGCCTTAGACAACCTGAAACAAGGGTTAAACAAGTGTTCATCGCTGATGGCTTCATGCACGATATAAAAGCATGTGAACATAACTTGTGCCTGTTGTATTTGCACTTCACTATGCCAAATTCTCGTCTGTATGCATACTAGTTTTATATATGGATAGATATTTACTGTATTAATTAAAACTTTAAATGCGTACCTGTTCCTCGAGTTCCCTCGTCTCCATATTTGCTTTCATCAGTAGAATTGTCTATGGTGTAGAACAATGGCGCCACTGAGAAGTGAGAATGGCGCCAAAATCTATAAACCAGTGCTTCCACAGCCCAATTGTCTTAAATTTCAATAAAATTTCCGGTAAATTTCATATTTTAATATTTTCCATTTTTCCTGTAATTTATATTTTCGTTCGTTTCGTTTCGGTGGTTTCGATGGTTTCGTCCGTTTCATTTCGGTCGTTTCGTTTCGACATTTTGCCTTTTAGTACATGCCCTTTTTTATCTCTTTTAGACTTATTGCATGCACAAATATGATCATCTGTTTTGAATCGAATCTGGCCCAACAATATGAATACATAAATGTTTGGGGACCTACTTTTAGGACCGATCCCATAAATGTTGGGGGTGACATTGCCGCCCACAAAAATTACTTACAGTGAAAATACAAAAAGTGTTCCACTTCTGCTTCAGATCTGTAATTTGTTGTGATTTACTGTAATTTGTTCTGTTTTTCTGTAGCAATTACAAATTTTATTGGAAAATAGCGCAATAAAACTTAGTTCTCTCTATTTTTAAATATAATTTGCAGCAAAGGGAAATAATACTTTTTCGTCCCAGTTGAATTGCATAAAAGGTACAAAATTTAAATTGTATTACAGATTTTGCCGATAAATCGGTAATCACTACAGAAAAACAGAACAAATTACAGTAAATCACAACAAACTACAGAAGCGGAAGGGGGACACTTTTTGTATTTTCACTATAAGGCTCAGAAGTGGCATTTTTAAATGCTGCCCCCGCTACTTCACATTGTGCCAGTAGCATACCCAGCCCAACAATTTAGTCCCGCTATGCAAATGTTTTCGTGTTCATTGACTGTGAAAACAATCAATTTCTAAAAAATGAATAATGATAATAATTTTGAATTTGCATAGCGGAACTAAATTGTGGGACTGGTTACGCCACTGATCACTTTGAATGAGGAGATTCAGGGTGTTAGCTACAGTAAAAAATTCTGCGTTAAACGCAGTTTTCCCAATTACCTTGAGTTATAGAAATTCAATGTTGTTAATACGCCATTAAAAACATGTTTATATCTACATTTGCTCAAAATTACTCCCAAAATGCAGGAAATTTCAAAGTCACAAAAATTTTAAAAATCGAGAGGGGGCAACCGCATGCCCCCAGACCAGGGGCGCACATTAGGGG